CTAGTAGTGGCCAATTTCTATTTGGCGCCTGTTGCATTATTTAAAGGCTAATTTTTTTAGAAACACCCGTAATTTTATTCATACTCATAACAATTACAAGTACACTGATTCGGATCTAAAATCCAAGAAAATACAAAGTAACTCCTATAACCAAGAATTACAGTGAAATCTCTTGGAACCATCTTGTTCGTTGCATCAATCTCTGTTAGAAGAAATACTTCAAAGACTTCGCCAAAAATGCTGCAATTGGGCTGGAGCAGCGATGTTATCACTCTTTCACCCGCACGACTTAAAAGGTCAACTGGTACATCACCCACACCCCCAACATAAGTATGTTTCGTAGTGGGCCAGCCCATCAGGGGGTAGCCCTTATACAGAAGTGCACATAAGCTCTAATTGGTTATAGGAAGCTTCCAAATGGTTTTAGAAGCTTCCAAACAGGTTTATTGTCCTTTTTGCTGGTTTTCTTTTTGTCTTTTCCCTTTCCTTTTCGTTTTTATTTTTTTCCAATGCATGAAATTTTGTCAAATTTATTTCTTTTCGAATTTGTGAACTTTTCTTAAATTTGTGAACTTTTCAAATCCTTAAACATTTTCCAAATTCTGTACCTTCTCAAATACACGAACTTTTTTTTAAATACGTGAATTTTTTTAATTCGATTACTTTTATAAGAATTTGTGATTTTTTAAAATCTGTTATTTTTTAAAGAAATCGTGATTTCTTCAAATTCATGAACTTTTGGGGGTCAAGAACTTTCTTTTCAAATTCACGAATATTTTTTGTGTTCGTAAACCTTTTTCATAATTTTAGAAGTCTACGGTCAACGGTTAGCGGTCAATGGTCCAATGGTCAACTGAGAACCGAGATGGTAGCTGCGAGCGAGCGAACGAGTTTTTTTGTTGTTGAGGGAAGCGATTGGTCGTGCTTAATGGGCCAACCCAAATGACCTTGTGCATGAGCAGTGCCTTGGTAAACTCGCGCTTAAGGCGCCGTATAGGAAGTCTCTTAGTTGTTTCATGTGCCAACGACCATAGCATGGTCGCTCGAAGGCGAATTAGAGTGTCAATCACCTTCATGAGTGAAGGGGAAGCAAAAGGCTCGTCTTCCTTTTCAAGATTACCAGGGGCCATCTTTTACCTCACGTTGGTGGGGGTGATTTTGTTACTGAAGAAATTTTCTTCCGGTTGGTTACTTGTTCCTGAAATAGGGTTGCACATTCGAATCATGCACCTGGCCCACCAGGCCACCATGACAGTATTCCAATCCGCTTGTATTTTTTAAGCAAGGGGTGATTATGATAGTAAAAATTTGAGGGTTTAAAAAGATAAAACTGAATATAACAAAAGAGTGTTCCATTTTCGACGATGGTGCCCAGCGTGTGAGCGACCGAAGTGCAACTTGTAACTGAAAGGCGGTGGTGAGCGGTGACCAAGTGGAGGCGACAACCACTATTCCAAAAAGATGGCTTCACAAATTTTCCAGATTCTCTACATTTGGGGTTTTTGGTTCATTTATTGCACTTCCGGCTACCAGAATGATCCGCACACCAACTTATTCAGGAAAGAAAACATGTGAAATCACCAGAGTTTAGAATAGCACTTCATAATTTAGTTGTGTTTCTCAATCATGCCTATGTTTGTTCATCTAGACACTCAATGGTGCATGCATATTATTTCCTTGCCTTGTTCCTGAAGCAAACATCATATGTCGTTTTTTGCTTGCAAGGCAGGCCGAGACGGTGGTGTCCCAACCCAAACGTGTCGAATTCTTGCTCATATGCAAATGGAGAGATATCAACATCAAAATATCCAACGTTGGCACTTCATAGGTCTGTTTGGTGATAAACCACTGATCAGTCGCGTCTGCTGATGCACCGTCTGACGCACTATGCAAAGCAACGCATATATGCTGCCTGCACCAAGAAGAAAAGATAGGATGCTTCCGGCCAACTGGTACATGATGCACACCCTAAATTTGTGTCAATGGTCCAATGCTCAAGTGAGGACCGAGATAGTAGCTGCGAGCGAGCGAGCGAGTTTTGTTGTTGTTGAGGGAAGCGATTGGTCGTGCTTAATGGGCCGACCCAAATGACCTTGCGCATGAGCAGTGCCTTAGAAAACTCGTGCTTAAGGCATTGTATAGGAAGTCTCATGGTTGTTTCATGTGCCAACAATCATAGCATGATCGCTCGAAGGCGAATTAGAGTGTAAATCACCTTCATGAGTGAAGGGGAAGCAAAATGCTCGCCTTCCTTTTCAAGATTACCATGGGGCGTCCTTTACCTAATGTTGGTGGGGTGATTTTGTTACTGAAGAATTTTTTCTCACTGGTTACTTGTTCCTGAAATAGGGTTGCACATTCGAATCGTGCATCTGGCCCACCAGGCCGCCATGAGAGTATTCCAAGCTGTTTGTATTTTTAACTCCTAAAAAAATTGTTTGTGTTTTTTAAGCAAGGGTTGATCAATGATCACTGCTTGATCATTAGTACCTTGTTTGCAACAGTAGAAATTTGAGGGGTTTAACAAGATAAAGCTAAATAAAATAAAAAAGTGTTCCACTTTCGACGATGACGCCCAACGTGTGAGCGACCAAAGTGCAACTTGTAACTGAAAGGCGGTGGTGAGCGGTGACCAAGCGGAGGCGACAACCACCGTTCCAAAAAGATGGCTTCACAAATTTTCCAGATTCTTCACATTTGGGGTTTTCGGTTCATTTATTGCGCTTCCGGCTACCAGAATGATCCGCACACCAAATTATTCAGAAAAGAAAACATGTGAAATCACCAGAGTTTATACTAGCACTTCATAATTTAGTTGTGTTTCTCAATCATGCCCATGTTTGGTTCATCTAGACACTCAATGGTTCATGCATATCATTTCCTTGCCTTGTTCCTGAAGCAAACACCATATGTCGTTTTTTGCTTGCAAGGCAGGCCGAGACGGTGGTGTGCCCAACCGAAACGTGTCGAATTCTTGCTCATATGCAGATGGAGAGATATCAACATCAAAATATCCAACGTTGGCACTTCATAGGTCTGTCCGGTGATAAACCATTGGCTAGTCGCATCTGCTGATGCACCGTCTGACGCACTATGCAAAATGCAAAGCCACGCATATATGCTGCCCCGCACCAAGAAAAAAAGGATAGGATACAATAACTCAACCGTGTGAATATGATATGAAAACCATGTGTGGGTGGACTTGGATTAGTCCACCGGTTCTTGTCCATGTCACATGATTCTCAGATGCACAAAGCAAAAGTGCAAGCACCATGTGATGATATGATCCACATGCACTAGTCTACTCTTTTCTCGACGCAATATCATAATCAACTCATTACCATCTCAATATCATAATCAACTCATTACCATCTCAACAAAAAAAATGAGAAGTCTACGGTCAACGGTGAGCGGTCAATGGTCCAATGGTCAAGTGAGGACCGAAATAGTAGCTGCGAGCGAGCGAGCGAGTTTTGTTGTTGTTGAGGGAAGCGATTGGTCGTGCTTAATGGGCCCACCCAAATGACCTTGCGCATGAGCAGTGCCTTGGTAAACTCGCGCTTAAGGCGCTGTATAGGAAGTCTCTTAGTTGTTTCATGTGCCAACGACCATAGCATGGTGGCTCGAAGGCGAATTAGAGTGTCAATCACCTTCATGAGTGAAGGGGAAGCAAAATGCTCATCTTCCTTTTCAAGATTACCATGGGTCATACTTTACCTCTTGTTGGTGGGTGGTGATTTTGTTACTAAAGAATTTTTCTTTCCATTGGTTACTTGTTCCTGAAATAGGGTTGCACATTCGAATTATGCACCTGGCCCACCAGGCCACCATGAGAGTATTCCAATCCGCTTGTATTTTTTAAGCAAGGGGTGATGGGTGATCAATGATCACAGCTTGATCATTAGTACCTGGTTTATGATAGTAAAATTTTGAGAGGTTTAAAAAGATAAAACTGAATAAAGCAAACAAGTGTTCCATTTTCAACGATGATGCTCAGCGTGTGAGCGACCAAACTGCAATATGTAGCTGAAATGCGGTGGTGAGTGGTGACGAAGTGGAGGCGACAACCACCATTCCAAAAAGATGGCTTCACAAATTTTCCAGATTCTTCACATTTGAGGTTTTCGGTTCATTTATTGCGCTTGTGGCTACCAGAATGATCCGCACACCAAATTATTCAGGAAAGAAAACATGTGAAATCACCAGAGTTTATACTAGCACTTCATAATTTAGTTATGTTTCTCAATCATGCCTATGTTTGGTTCATCTAGACACTCAATGGTTCATGCATATCATTTCCTTGCCTTGTTCCTGAAGCAAACACCACATGTCGTTTTTTGCTTGCAAGGCAGGCCGAGACGGTGGTGTGCCCAACCGAAACATGTTGAATTCTTGCTCATATGCAGATGGAGAGATATCAACATCAAAATATCCAACGTTGGCACTTCATAAGTCTGTTTGGTGATAAACCACTGATCAGTCGCGTCTGCTGATGCACCGCCTGACGCACTATGCAAAGCAACGCATATATGCTGCCCTGCACCAAGAAGAAAAGATAGGATACTACAATAACTCAACCGTGTGAATATGATATGAAAAACATGTGTGCTTGGATTAGTCCACCGGTTCTTGTTTATGTCACATGATTCTCAGATGCACAAAGCAAAAGTGCAAGCACCATGTGATGATATGATCCACATGCACTAGTCTACTCTTTTCTCGACGAATATAGCACCGTATGCCACAACCACCAGATAAAATTGACAGGAATATCTCCTTTAATCTCTTTTTTGTGGATATAATATCTACTTTAATTTAACCAAACACCATTTTATGTACATGTTTCTTGAATGAAGAAAAGAAAAATGAATGACCCTACAAAAAATCCACCACCAAGCAGAGAAGTTCCACCGGGACAAACGGAAAGCAACGGCCGTTTCCTTCCCATTCCCAGCAAGCGGCACGCAAGCACGCACCGTTTGACCACGGCCCGGGTCAAACTAAACACGTTGCCCAGCCGCGCACGCCTGGTCGTTGCACTCCACTGACTTGCCGCCGGGGCCGGCCGGCTTCCCGCCCTTGCTCGACCCGTCCGACTCGGCCCTCCGTGTCGACCTCGACCCCCACGCCGCCGAGAAGGTCCGCGACAGGAACGATGGCCACCGCCCGGACTGGCCCAGCCGCACGCTCCTCCCGCCGCGGCTGCTCCCGTCGCCGCCGCCGCCGCCGCCTAGCCGGAGGGCGCGGCGCATGCTGCCCTGGCGGCCGGCCGTGAACGCGACGAGGCTCTTCGTCCGCCGGAGCTTGCCGGCCGCGACCACCTCCCGGAGCACGCTCTCCGGCAGCCGCAGCGTGAACCTCTCGGCGCCGGCGCCGGTGCCGGTGCTGGCTCGCGTGGCGAGCGAGTGGCCTGTGGAGTGCGAGCGCGGGAAGCGCGCGGGCCCGCGGCTGGACTTGGACCGCAGCGCGCGCTTCAGGCTGCCGATGCGCGTCAGCTCGTCGGTCTCCTCCCGTATGATCCGCTCGTCCTCGCTCTCCTCCACGTCGATGACGACGGCATGCGCCGCCTCCGCCTCAGGCGCCGGCAATTCCTGCGGCTGCGGGGCGGGATGGACGCCCGACAGCTCGGCCGGCTGATCGCCGGCGGCCGGGGCGTCGGCGTCGTCGGCGTCGGGGACGAGGTTGGCGCGGCAGACCGGGCAGGTGACGTGGGACGCGAGCCAGGTGTCGATGCAGTCCGGGTGGAAGACGTGGGAGCACTTGGGCAGGAGGCGGAGCGTCTCGTCGTCGTCGAACTCGCTGATGCAGACGGCGCACTCGAGCGCGCCCTTGACGGCCTTGTGCTCCTTGACGTCGGCGTAGGCCATGGTGGGGAAGGTCTCGAGGACGGCCGGGTCGAGCCCGCGCTGCTGCCGCCGCGAGCGCGCCGCCGCGCCGGCGCCGAGCGGGAGCGTGGTGGCCGAGTAGGGGCTGTCGCCGTAGCAGTGGCGGATGTAGACGGAGAAGAAGCCGAGGAAGAAGAAGGCGGCGATGAGGACGACGATGACGATCGCCATGGACGGGCTGAAGTTGGTGTAGTACTGCCCGCCCGGCGGCGGCGGGTTCTGGTTCTGCTGCGCCGCCCCGAAGTCTGCCACGGCGAGCACGATCAGGAGGAGGAGCCATCGGCGGCCATCGGCGCAGCGTGCCGGCCCCATCGATCTGCTCGTACCTCTGCTGAGTGGCGCTGATGATCTAGCGGAGGGAAGCTGGACGCTTTATGGGACGATCGGAGTTGTGAACTGGGAGGTCCGGCAACGGTGCGGAGTGCAGCGCGTTTATATACGTGAGAAGAAGGCGGGTCGAGGTGGATGACGGCCGGCTTGTTGCTGTACTCGTTTTTTTTTTTGTGTGTGTGTGTGGAGGAGATGTTGTTGTAGGTGTGTGTGGAGCGGGAAGGGTGGGGAATTGCTAGGTCCACCGCGAATTCATTGCTGCACGTACGTAGCGAATGGAGTAGTGCTGGTTTTGAGTGTCTCTACTGCCTATTTTACCGAGTTTTGTTTTGAATGCTCCTTTGTCTTTTACATCTTGAATGGTGCCAATTTCATACTTTCATGCGGGGGTCATATGCTTTGGTCAAATGACAGAATGAAATGTGCAACAACCTTTTGAAGTGCATGGGGGCAGAGTGACCCCACCCGGTTTCCTAAAGCAAAGCCCATGTTTAAAAAATAATAATGCAGTATAATCATAGATGCCCACAGACACGCGCGCACACACTCACCCTGCTGCTATAGCACTTTCGAGATATGGTCAACAGTTTGAGATTGACGTTGCCTTCTTCGTTGTCGACGGAAACGTTTACTCCCGCTAGAAAAAATCGACGAAAAAGCTTGAAATAAATCCAGAAAAAATACGAGCACTGTTGTCAAGTCTGGGATTAGAATCCTGGCGGGCTGGTTGCACTAGTAGGAACCTAATCATCTAAGCTACGCTTAGTTAACACAAAGCCCATATTTGTAAAATTATTAGTTTTATGAAGCTTCCTAACTACTGCATGCATGATTCTTAAACAAAAACTACATGCATAATCATATGCCACAAGGTTCTGTGATTATGGCTGTGGGTGCCACAAGCCACATGCTTGTTTAATATATGTTGAATATTCATTTCACTATAAAATTAGAAATGTGTCTACTGGTACTTCTCAATAAAAAGAAGACATCCCTACCAAAATAGACATGCATGCAGTACAATACAATACACTAAGCAAAAACAGTGAAAAAACTTGAATAGACCGCTCAAACAACATCATCTTTAAAAAATATAAGATTCATATTTTCGTCATGTTAAATGCCGATCCCGGTGTTGGTCATTGAAAAATGCCACCTCGATTAAACAGGTCTCGAAAGCAAAAACGAAGAAGTCCCTTCAAAGATAATGAATGGATGCTAGTACACGGCCGGTATGCTGGTGCACGCAGACGGAGACAGACCCATGGCAAGTGTCTGTGGTAGGTCGGGCTGGTAAAGAACCGAATCTGGTGGCCGAATGCGACCACCGAAGGAACGCTGGAGATGCCGGGTTCGGAGCGAGAGCACGTGGCCGACTGCGGAGTCCGTCGCGGGCGCGAGATTAGTGGATTGATTATGCTTGTCTTTGGCCTCGTTAACTACCGGACTGCCCTGTGCTTTCCGTTCCTTTTCCCAGCGCCGCGTGCGAAGCTGACTTGACTAATAAACGGGACCGGTCATTAGGCGGCTCTGATCCTAGTAGTCAAATCCGATATCCCAGAGGAAGGTTCTTGGGGTGTTTGACAAGCAAATCGACGGTGAAGGAGAGAGGGATGTTTTTGTATCTGGTCTCTGTCATGACCTTTCAACTGATGCGCGGTTTTGACATTTGGCTTTTCCACGTACTAGTAGAGTTTTGCGGTGAAAGCGCCCGTGTGGTTACATTTACCAATGATCAGATTCCGTACGTTTTGGACGAGGTGGGAAGCTGCGACTTTTGAACTAGGAACAAATTTCTGCATCGCGTACTGTAGAAAGAGGGAATTGTGTAAACCATACACTGTAAATGCACGTTGATTTGCTTTTCCGCGTGCACCATGCCGATCTATGTATGATATGGATGGATGGTAAGAGCATCTCCATCCGTGTCCCCAACAGACCATCTTCAGACTTTTTGCCCCGCCGGCGCTGAAAAAAAGGCTCGGCCGCGGCCGGCGCGTCTCCCGGATTCGTCACCCCGGACGACACGGTCGATCTCAGCGGCGGTATAGACGACGAGCTCGGCTACGTCTACGGCGAGGAGGAGGAGGAGGAGGAGCCGGCGACTGTTCCGGCGAGGGGGCGCAAGAAGAAGAAGCGGGCGGCCAGGTCCGGCGAGGCGCGCATCAAGTGGGCATCCAAGGAGTGGGAATGCCTCGCCGAAGCATGGAAAGTCGTCCGCCTCGACCCGACCACCGGCACGAACCAGAGCATCGAGATGTACTGGGAGCGCATCAAGGCCGAGTTCGACGAGCGCAAACTCGTCGACCCCTACTTCAAAGGCGTCTACATGCAGCGCAGGGCGAAGGCGATGGCGAACCATTGGGGGCGTATCCAGGGGGCGTGCAACAAATGGTATGGGATCTTCGAGGAGGTCGCGGCTTGCCCGGAGAGCGACGCCAGCGTTGAGGATCAGGTATGGCACGTCAGTCTCCCGTCTTTCTTCGCCATGTGCGCCCCCAACTGTTTGTTCCTCCGCGTAGTTGCTGCGCATGTTCGTCTTGTATCGGCAGGGCAACAACGATGCCGAATTCAAGTACCTCCATGTCTACAAGCGCATTGATATGTGCGAGAAGTGGGCGGAAGTCCGACGCACCCTAGACAAGGCCAAGGAGACCTACAAGTCGGATGCGCCGACTCCGGACGCGTCAGAAGGGCGGCCGGACAGCAACAAATGTGCCAAGAAGGGGAAACAGGCCGACACGGCCACCGCTCGTGTGCAGGAGTCCATCGAGCACTGCCTCGCCGACGCGCAGACTCGGGCCGCCCTTCGTGAAGAGAAGACCGAGGCGCGGTGGTCGGCATTGATGTCGAGCAGCGCCATCAAGCTCGACCTACCCCGAACCAACGTCGCCGCGAAGAAGAGAAACACCGACCTGGCTTTCCTACTGGGCGGGGCGAACATGCTCCAGAGCAACGACGAGGCGGTCAAGGCGTGGTACTTGGCGGAGCGTGGCCTCATCCTAAACCAACTTCCCTCGACGACGTTGCCCACGTCGACGCCCACGCCGACGCCGCCGCCAAGTCCGAGCAATGATGCCGCCGAGACTCCCCGCAGCACAGAAGCCACGCCGACGCCGCCAAGCACGGAGACCCCACCAAGCCCGCGCACGCTGACTCCGCCGACGCCGGAGGCCGACCTCGCCGTCTGATGCGCACGCACGTCCTTTCTGCCTTTTGTACGCCAGACTTTTCATTCCATCGCCGAACTTGTGGCCGCTTGATCGCCGGATTTGTGGCGTCTATTTTGTGAGCGGGAATGACTACGTTTGAATTTGCCGCGGCTGGGGCGGCGCCTGGGGGCGTAGGTGGGAGGTAGATCGTCCCCAGAGGCCAATCTAGCGCCGGTTCGCCTCCAGGTCGCTTTTTTTCGACGCCTTTGGGGCCTCAACGGCCGGAGATGCTCTAATATGGTGTGAAGGACCCGGTGCGCCGTGCATTATCCTACTATACACCAGACAGTTTTATAAAGCTTGGAACAATAATGCACCTTTTTTTATCCGCGATTCGTGTGCTTGAACTCGTCAAGCTTGGCTTCGCCTTTTAATCTCATTTAGTACCTGGAAAACGCGGGAAGACAAGACGCCGATTAATCTAGTAAGCAGTAGTTTCCGGTAGATTGGACATATCTCCAAGGTCAAGGCGGCATCTGGCTCACCATGCGCATGCGACGGAGGAAGGGGAGGCGAGTTCTAGAAAGGACCGACGCCTGATTGGCCGGCCGTGGTCGTTAACCTATTTTCCTATTGGGGGACGGACCAGACTCTTCCGCCGGGACCCGGTCGGGCGGAAATTCGCGAGAGAGGTTCGGGGCAGTCGTCACGGCGTTGCTGGTGGCTGGGTGCTGGTAACCGCCCGGGCGCGCGCGTGACGCGTGTGCCGCTGCGGCCGCCGGGCGCGCCGCGTGCTCCGACGTTCGCGCGCGCACGGCAACTCTGTGCGCGGCTTCGCCGGGCTCCACGTTCGTGCATCACGTACCCGTGGGGAAGGGCGTGCGCCGGTGAGTAGTTATCGGTCGTGCGACGTCGGCTGGGTTCGGTGCGGCGGTGCTGCTGCTCCCGGCCCGAGTCCTGGTGGATTACGTTTTCTGGAGGTTCATCGTCGGTGTTGTTGGCTCCTGCATCCTTTCTGGACGGAACGAGATAGGCCTAGTCCTTGGCCATCTCATCGCTGAGAGCATGTCTAAGAGCACCCTTAAAAAAGCATGTTTAAGAGCAACTCCAACGAGACTATTCAAATGGACATGCGTTTTATCCATTTTTTGTCTGTTTGGGTCGACAGGCGGACGTGCGTCCGCATTCTAAAATAAGTCGGCTTGATTGCCCAACGAGAAGGCCGACCCAAATGTGGGGTCATGAAAAAAAACAAGTTATACTAAATAAACATAAATAAACATAAAGTGGCCGGTCAAACGTCAGCCAAAGTCGATATAAATCTAATAAACATTAAATAAAACATTAAAAAAAGTCTGCGCCCGCCTGCTGCCGCCCCGCACGCTACCGTAGACGTCGTCGGCTTTGCTCTTGCCCTTGCAGTCGTCGGTGAGGTCGATGAAGAGCGGAGCAGGGTCAGCCAACCCGAACGCCGCCTGATACGCTGCCAGGGCAGCCTCCTCCGGCGTCTGCTGGGGCGGCGGCATTGCGGCAAGCAGCGCGCGCTCCTCCTCCTCCTCCTCGAGCCGGAGCGCCTCCGCGTCGCGTTGGAGCATGGCCTCATAGCGCATTTGCTCCTCGCCGTCGGCCTGCTCCTGGCGGAGCCAGTGCTCCTTCCATCGCTCGAGGTGGGCCACCTCCTCCTCCGCGTCGCGGCGAAGTGGACGGGAGGCATGCTCACCTACTCGCGGTACTGGCCCGTCCACGAGTAGGCCTTTTCCGGCCAAGTGGGTGGAGGCGGGGAGCGCTTACGCGTCGGCTCCGGCTCCGGCTTGGGCTGGACGGGCGGCG